TCTCTGGAGGTGGCTCTCGTAGCCTCTCGAGGCTTTTTATTTGCTGGTTTGACAAGCTCAGTCCCTGGGGCTGTCTGCGCTCCTTATACAGCGTTACAGGTTTCAGTAGAGTCTGAGATCGAGCAGAGTAGTACACGTAGAGCAAAATATGCCTTTGGAAGTGTTCTGGGTTTCAGAAATAGCCAATGATCATCTGGATTCAAGACTGTCTGAGGTGGATGATTGAGCTGAGAAAAAAGCTTGGTTTTAAAGATAATATTGAGCAATTTAAAAATCTTGCCCAAACCGGCACTGAAAGTAGTTATTCCTTGAAGAAATTCTCAGAACAGTAATTTAAACAATAGCAGCATTACTAGATGAAGAGTAGAGCCCCCCAAGGCAAGGAGAGGCTCAGTTCTCTGGATGCAGGCATATCCCAGTAAAATGCAGACAAAAATTTCAACAGTGCTCCTTACAACTATTAGCAGAATTGTAATAATTTACGACATGATCGAAGACGGACCACCGGTTTATGTTGCAATTATATAATGACTGAAATATGGCTCAAGATTTAAAATGGTGAAATCGAGTCTAGTGCTAGCACCCTCCTGAGGTGATCCACTCCGGAGCTGGCCGCCTCTGCTGGAGGGAAGTCTGGGGCCTGGTGTCAGCAGTGGCCACTCTGCCTTGCCCTGCTCGGAGCACTCCCGCTCAGTGCAGCCACGTCCTGGACTCCCCGTGGAAACCTGGTTGCCTCTGCAGTGACATCCATGGCTTCGAAGAACGGCCAAGGAGCAGATTGGGCCGTTTCCCCCTTGAACTCATTCAGCCGTGTCGTGCATCTGAGTCTCTCGCACAGGGGTGCGTTGGCAACCACAACTGGCAATTCCGGATTCCAGAACCAAGTCCTGAGGGAGGGAGAGGGATGGAGCCAAAGGAACTGCTTTGAACTAGATTCCCCCGAGGCAGAGGTCATGTGCAGCAGATTCAAGGAAATCCAACCCACCTGGCAGGACCCTTCTCGGGTCCTGGAGGGCAGCCTGCTCCCTTTCCTGCTCTCTTTCGAGTTCCGTGACACTCGTTGGAATGCTCTTCCCTCTGAGCCTGACTTTGCAATGACACCATCATCACCCGCCTTTTCTTCTTATCGCTAAAGACAAGTCCCTGGACCCTATCAGTGGAAATGTAACTACAAATCAGGGATGAGCCATAGCGAGTGGGGGCAGGGCATGAGGACAATATGGGAGGTGACTCCACGGGAGACAAGAAGAGCTCTATAGAAGAGAAACAAGATGTCAGTCTGGATGACACCAAGAAGGGTTAGCCCCACACACACTCAGAAGGAGGGACAGTTGGAAGGCGTCAGCCTGGCACAGTGTCAAAGAGGGTGCAGGAAGCAGGGAGTTTGCAGTGTGTGCAACTAGGGCGTGGACTCAGTAGCCCCCAAGAGGTCCCGGTGAGGAGGAGAGAAGCCTGCATTTCCTCATCTGTAAATGGGCATTACAGCCCCACCGGTAGGGGTTCCTGAGGAATAAGTGATAATATCCAGCTCCACTCACAGTGTCTGGCGAATGAATGAGCAAATGTTAGATTCAGTTCCACTTGGTTCACCTCCTAAGTTTCACAAATGAAGACAAGTTTCAAACACCTGTTTTACATTATGCACATTTTAATTCAGTTCATTTGGCCTTTAAGATTGGACTGAAAAATAGAGAGCTTTACCAAGTTTTACTAACGCGTGGACTGTGAGTTCGGAAGAG